ATGCTGCAAAGGAATACGAGAAGCCAAAGGCCAAACCTAAGTCTGAGGTTAATCGGTCTATTTCGCTAATCCTCTTTAAAGTACCTGTGAGCAAGGACAGCTTGCTTGAACAGCGGGCCCTGTTTGATCAGGAACAGTGGTCCAACCTGTGCAATAAAGTAGGTCTGAATATTAGTTCAGTGAAATTGTACAGGCTGTACAGGGGTGTCCACACACCCCAAGGTAAGCCACCCCCATTACGGGTTACACTGGACTCTGCCGAAGAGGCCGAAAAGGTACTATTGATGGCTCAGGTACTAGCCATCGACAGAAGCTCTAACATAAGGGCGAGACAAGACAGACCATGGGCTGTCAGACAAATGGCGAGAGAGTCACCGGAACTTTTGTCTTCTACCTCCATGGTGGTACACGGTGTTCCGGAGCTGGAAACGGGCACTGCCTGTGAAAAACACATGCATGACGTACAGCAGTGGAGATGGCTGTCGTCTCAGATGGCCCTTGGCGCTTCTGGAGCCATCTCCGTTTACCGACTACCTCGCCCCACTCATCTCACACTGATCAGCTCTCCAAGGCTGCTAAGTGTCACATTGAACTCCCCAGAGCAGTTGGCCATAGCACTTCAACGGTGGTATGAGATCAAGGGGAAATTGGGAGGACACATCCGATGCTGCGAAAGCAGACCTCGAACCCTAAGGAGGCAGCAAACGGAGGCCTTAATACGTCCTCAAGCTTCAGTGACACTAGAGCGATGCACTTCTGAGAATAACAGTCTGTGCCACCCAAGTGTCCTGCCTAAATCCAAGGGAAAAAACCACAACGGGCCAGTTCCACCGGAACTGGCCAACTAGTCCCAACATTAGGTCCCCTACCAGCAGACAGCTTCACGTCAACTACCCCGCAACACGCTGAGGTTGTAAGACTCACTGTCAGCTGCCTATATAGCAATGTGAGGAGGCTGAGAGGAAAAATAGGTGAACTCCGAAATCTCCAAGCACACCTACAACTGAAAATGATCATTCTCACCGAAACATGGCTAACCCCCACTATCGCCGATAATGAAATCAGTATAGGTGATATGGTTTTGGTCAGGAGAGACAGGGATAATAAGGAAGGAGGGGGAGTTGCCACATACTATGATAGGCAACTTAAATGTGTGCGCGCAACGGACCCACCACTTATTGAACTCCCAGACTCCATATGGTGTCATTTCACCGTAGGCCACACCAAGCATTTACTTGGTGGCATCTACCGTTCTCCCACCTGTGGGGCAGAGCACAATCAGCTACTGCTCAGCACTATCACAGGGATACGAGACTTGGGCTATGAACAAATCACCATTGCTGGAGATTTCAATGCCCCATCACTGAACCTTGGCTCGGGGTATGCTAAAGGAAAATTCGGCCGAAATCTACTGCAAGCTATTCAGAACACGGGACTGACTGAGAACGTTGGAGACGACACTAGGTGGAGCCCTAGTGGAAAGTCATCAAAACTAGACTACATTCTAACTAGTGACCAACTACTCGTCGAAAAGGTCCAGGTCATGACTCCTCTAGGAAGTAGTGACCATGCAGTCATAGGTTTCGACATTGTTCTCCGTGAGCACTTGCAGTGGGACGTTATGCAACCATGTCTGTGTTACAGCAAGGCTGACTATGCTGAAATGCGGAGGCTCTTGTCCGACACAGACTGGCCCTTAGCATGGGATGAGCTGTCTGTGGATGAACACTGGGAAGCGGTAAAAAATATTATTCATACAGTAATCTCGAATACCGTCCCTTCAGTCACAACACAGCCCAAAAGAAAGTCATCATGGCTAAGGAGAGGCACGCAGCGTATTCTGCAAGCAAAGCGGAAGGCTTGGTTTACGTGGCGCGTATCTAAAAGCCAGATCGACCATGATGCATACCTGGAACTCAGGAACCGGTGCAATGCAAGAGTCAGGAGGGACAGGAGGTTATTCCAGGCTAACCTTGCTAAAATCTCCTGGCAAACCCGAAGAATTTGTACCGATTCATGTCGGAAAGGAAACCAACCAACCAGGGGGCGTGCGCCTTGGTAGGCTAAAACGGTCAATATCTCACTAGTCTGGAGATGGCTGAAACATTTAGTTTAGCCTTCGCCAAACAGCTAAACAGCAATGTGGGTATTACCGTTACGGACCAAAATGGTGGCATCACTATCTCACAGGAGGAAGACCAAACAGCCACCCCTAAAATAAACCCTGCAATAGTACTGAGAAAGCTGCAGCGACTCATACCTGGAAAGTCCCCAGGTTGTGATGACATCAGGCCATCTGTTCTGAAACAGTGCGCCGAAGCTCTCTGTAGGCCTTTATGCGACTTGTTCCAACACTCCATGGAATCGGGGAAACTGCCAAAGGAATGGAAAAGAAGCATCCTTTCTCCGATCTTCAAGGGTGGGGATAGGCAAAATTCCACCAGTTATAGACCAGTAGCTCTACTCCCAGTGGTATCGAAAGTACTGGAAAGTATTATTGATGATCACATCAGGGAATATCTGGATAGGTCTAAAATACTCCATGAAGCCCAACACGGTTTCAGGAAAGGGCGATCCTGCGTCACCAACTTATTATCAGCCTGGGACGACTGGACATCATGCTGGGATATGAATGTTCCAGTCCATGTGATCTTTCTAGACTTTGAGAAGGCATTTGACACTGTTCACCATGACCTTTTCCTACACAAAATAAGCCAAGTAGAGTTAGGTAAACCACTTCTGTCATGGTTGAAGGACTACCTAACTGAAAGGCAATTTTACACCGGGGTCAATCGGGTCCGATCATCATGGCACAGCTCAACATCAGGAGTGTCGCAGGGTTCTATCCTGGGACCACTGATGTTCTTGATCTTTATCAATGATCTACCATGCCTGAAAAAGTGCAAAGTAGTGAAGTTACGCACCTGTAGACTGCAGAATGCAAGTTACACCCTGTGCATTGAAAGCTTGTCCTGCTCAACGTCGGAACGTGACTTAGGTCTAGTTCTAACGGAGAAAATGGACACAAGCGTAAATTACACGGGGGATGTAGCGAGGGCATATGCGGTCATACACTTTACACATAGACAATTAGGTGCACTCACTCCTGAGCTCTTTCTAAGGTTGTATAAAACAAACGTCAGACCGCATCTTGAAGTGCATAATATCATTGCACCCCCACTGCTTAAAAGAGACGCCAACCTTTTGGAAAGAGCCCAACGACGGGCAACAAAAGGAGTGGTTGGTCTCCGAAATAAACCATATGATGAAAGGCTGAAGAAATTAGGCCTATTGACACTTAGTTACCGTCGTCTTAGGGGGGATTTAATTACTGCCTACAAAATAACAAATGATCAGAATCACCCAAACAAAGGTGTTCTGCCATTGAGTAGGTATAGGCTCCCTCGTGGAAATCCTAGAAGGATAGCTCATCAGAGGGCAAGGACCCGGGTGCGCTCCCACTTCTTTTCCCTGCGGGTTTGCCGTCCATGGAATTCCTTACCGGCAGATGTAGCTATGGCACCATCTGTGGACGCCTTTAAGCGAAGGCTGGACAACCACGCAGCGACACAAGGACTTCACCCAAATGGCCTGTCCCCTTAAAATCGCATACACCATTCAAAGGCAGACAATTAAACTGGTCGTTTTACTTCTTCACATTCCCTTCAGTCTTACTCTCCTGACAGCTTTAACTACACCTATTATTATTATTACTGGTATATATACATATATACCGGTTGACTGACTGTTGTTACGTTTTCTTATTCTTTTTATGTCTGTTAGTCTGAATACCTTTACTAATTATATCTATTATTATTTTCTCTTTTCTATTGACGACTATACCGAAGGACCAACTGGTGAAAGGATCAACTCCATTCACAGTAGTAACAGTCTTAACACACTTCATACTACAAACCACATAATTAATCCCTGCACTACTCCTTTTGGAGTCAACCAAAGCTACGGCAGTCGAGTGGTTGGACGAGCCACGTAGACGTTTACCGAAGATCAGGAACCTCTACCTCACAATCAAGAGGCGGGCACAAAGAAATCAAATTGGTTTATACTAGCTCGTAAAAACGATATTGGATATTGGAAGTGAACATAAAGATGGAGGTGGTGAAGATTACCAACACCAATCACCGTCAAAGGGAGTGTTTTCGCGGAGGTCACTTCCTTCACCTATCCAGGGAGCACAGTTTCAGCCACAGCCGGCGGAATGTATGAGGATGTCAAAGCGAGCCAGAATAGGGAAAGCATGATACTCCTTCATCACCCTGAAACCAGTTTGGAAATCTTCTGCGTTCGGCAGTATAAAGAACAAGATGGGGATTTTCAACACAAATGTGAAGTCAGTCAGCTCTTCTATATGGGTCACAAACTTGTCGGACGCGTCACGAAGAGGATTGCCAACAGGTCGCAAACTTTTACCAACAGCTGCCTTTTCCGGCTCCATACTGAAGATCAAGTGGCCTGTCAGAACAACAAGAAACTCTGGGTGGGAACAAACCAACCAAGAGTCTATTGCTTAACAAATATGTAGGAGGAGGCGAGAGTTGATTGGGCATACACTGAGAAGGCCGTCAAATGGCATCGCGTGCAATAAAGGCCATCGCTCGAGTGGAATCCCAATGGAAGTGACGAGTGAGTCGTCGGTACGAGGGTGACATTGTGGAGATCGTGTGGGATGGAGAAGGACATGAGAGATTATGGTCAATCGTGGATCCAGCTGAAGAGAACAGTAGAGAATAGAAGAAAGTGGGGATGTGTTGCTGAAGCCCTGTATTCCACTCAGAACCCAATAGAGTATTATCCTTGATAATAGTGGAGTGTTGAATGTGATATGTTCTCGAAAGTCTTATCAGTCTCTAGACTTTTAAAGCCTGCGGATTTAGTTTGAAAAATATTTGGGCATAAAAGTGGGCTCTAATGAAGATGAATTCACTAGACAGCCTGATATGACATTGAACATTGAATTTGTTTGAGAATTCCAAAGTGAAGTAGATGTCCGTTAAGCGCCACGACTTATGTTGCTGAGTGGGATGTATGTTTCTTAATTTAAGTATGGCTATGCATAATTAAAATAATTGATATCGATTCTTATGAAGCCTGAATAATCACGCTTCAGACAAAGTTAGAGCTCATTAATGACGAAAACATATGTCCCAATCAGAGTGTGATATGTAGAAGTGATGTCTGTTACATTTCTATTTGTAACTAGTATGTAGTATGCATTACGTAAGTAATAACTGTTCGCTTACACTGTGTGTGAGAACCACTTCTGTTAGTGTATCTTAGATGTTAAGATCCCAAGCTAGCATTAATTCTAAACTAATTCTAACCTATATGTGTCGATAATGCCTTTTTTGTGGTAAATAAATATTTTATCTACTTAAAATGAACCCATCATGTACTGAAATAACGCTTGTTGTTCTGAAAAACAGCACCGGGCGCATAATGCGACGAAACCTTAAAAGTAGGATTTAGATTTGCAGTAATGCATTTAGCGCTGAAAAAAGCTGAAAAAAATGTCACTATGAGCCTAAGTCTTTTTTTTCTGAAGTAATGCCAGTCATTGCTGAATCTGGGCTGAGAGGGCTGAAACAACGCTGATTAGCAAACACAGTAGGTTCTGAGCTACTTCTGAAAGTGCCTGGAAAAACCATAGGGTGCTGAATTAATGCCAGTCATGCTGTAAACCAGGACTGAGTTCTGGTCTGTGTGCATAATCAAACCATTTCAGGAAAATTTCAGAATTTATTCATTATAGGATGTTAGAGTTAAGAATTAGCGTTATTTAAATCAGTACTATAGTAAGCTTAGGATTGGACACTTCTGACATGCAGCTCCAGCTGTTACTTCACTAGTAACCAGATGTCTGTGAATTAAATCATATTTACCTTTAAAATCCTGTTCAAGTTCGTTTTTATTCACTTTCGAGGTGTATGAGTAGTTGACATCCTTTCTCTAGCTGCTAACATCAACGGAGTTAACGTTTCGTCAAAGTCCTTGTTTGACGATGTTGAGTAGTTCCACTCTACTGCAAAACAAAAGAACGTCTTTTTACAGTCCATCAATTAATGTCTAGATTGCATTTATAGAAATTCGCATCCTTAGAGAATCTTATAACCATCGACAGAAAGGTGGTGGTAAGTAAACGGTTTATAAGATGAACGTTTTCTAGAGCCTAATCTTTAAATCTGGACTCAAATATAAATACAGCTCAGATTTCATTTACATTTTCATGCACTAAAGAGTGAAATGAATTGTGAGCGTTAAAATACTACTTCTTGACTGTCTAAAGCACAGTAAGTGAGGCAGGGTATACAACGACCGTCCACTGATTAATTTATGTCCCTAAACTAATAGGTCGTCATGTAAATTGTTTAACAAGTCGTACAGCTTTGTTTCCAGAAATGAACGAACTATGTCAGAAGCCTCCCCTTTATCACTATCCCTCCGAACACTTTAATATGAAAGACTTCAAATAACGATTGCTTCAAATAAACTCTTCAAGTCACCGAAGTATGCCAGCGTAACTCATATTTGTTCACCAAATGTTTATCTGTTTAATGCAGATTTAGCTGATTTCAGTCTATGCTGCACTGGCTTACAACCAGTGACAGATTCGTCTAAATACATCAACAGTAGATGCTCCCTTGATATGCAACGGTCTAAGTCGTCGTATATTAAGTAGTAGGTAATATAAAGAGACAAGGAATGGGAATTAATTATAGAGCTGAACTCAGTCGAAATCCTTTTCGATTTCCAGGTAACCCACAGTGATTAGTCATATGTTAGTGATACCTGTCTGTCCTTAAAGAGATATTAACTAAAGTACATTCAGGCTAAAAAGGAGTTCTCAGGTTGAACTCATTTACTAGAATATCAACCATTCTGTGTGATGGCTAGTGATACTACTCAGTTGACCAAGTGGAAGTAGGTGGAACGGGATCCCAACGCATGACCCACTGATCAACAGTCGAGTACTTAAGCCAATTAACGATAGCTTGAAGCATTACACCGATTCTCAATTTCATTGACCGTAAGTGTAAATTGTTTAACTGAGAATCAGTGGTTAGAGTCTTCGTAACGTGACTTAGGGTCATTTGTGATGAGGTAGATGTATTTATTCCATGTCATCTTACAAATTCCAAAAATTTTAAGTGCTTATTTAATTATATTATCTCCCTCTCACAGATCATCCCTTATTGTAGTTCCATCATATCTCTTTTATTTTCTTTGATGTGTGGCATTGTGTAGCCTGCCAACTTTGATAAATCCACTTCTGTGCAAAGTTCTACATTGTTTAATCATGCAGGATGTTTGGAATAAAGCCATTATTATTATTAATCACCTCTGAAAACTATCCGGTATACGTCACGATTTATTGTCTTGATTACAGTCAAATTAAATATATATTTTTTACCAAACGTTACTGAATTTTTCATGCAGTTTTGAATACAATAAGTGTATAGTATTATTTTATCATATTAATGGGTTCAGTTTCAGTAGTAGTAACACATAAGATATCACCAAGCTAAGGTATCATTTTTGTGTTGCAAAATTTTCTTGTTAGCTAAGGAGTAATCTATTGTGCTAGATATTAAACTACACTCTATTGAGAAGGGATACTGAACTTAAAGACAAAGTTATTTCACTCATGCCATATTTGTCAAGTGTTCATGTGTAGTGTTTTAAATATTAAATGATAAAATTCTAATGTACACATAGTTGAGGTCCCGCTACATCTCTCCATCGTACTCACTGATGTTTTGTTTTTTGTGAAATTATTAACTGCGGGGTTTAAACGATCCACTATTGCTGTCAACGTTAAGAGAAAACTATCTTTGCAATCTACACCCTGAATTTTCACTCTTGAATCTATACTTTATTTTTTAATTATGAAAAATAGCCATTAGGGATATAGGGAGATAACGAGAACTTCAGCAAAACCTTTTCAACGGCTTCATTGTCAATGGCTACTGTAAAATCTCAATTTATCATACATTTACCTCCTGCAAAGGGTTATAGCTGCAAATATTATTTATTATATTATTATTTCACTGCGTTCTGAGTGGAACATAGAACCTCAAAATCACATCTGCATTTTGTCTTGTTCTGTGCAGTGCTTTTAGCTGGCTCCTCGATCGCAATTCAAACTGCTTTATATCTGTGTAAAGTTCTATGTTGAAACCAGTCAATCACTCAGTCTCATATCTCTTTCGCACGATCTCCATGTCACACTCGAACCAAAGCCCAAATCATTCCCTATTATGGTTCTACTTGAGGGTATGAGTGACGCATGGTGTCACTCAGAGGTTTCCTCAGCACGTGTTTGATCTATTTTCGTTTTCTTCAGCATATTTGTTGAGCGATTGGCTCTTGATTGGTTCGTTTCCATAGTTGCTAGTTCTTTCTGGTGATCGGATCTTCAGTATGGAGCCAGCGAAGGTAGCTGTTGATAAAAGTCTGAAGCCTATTTGAAATGCTTTTCGTGAAGCGCAGTGCAAGTTTCTGACCCATACAGGAGAACTGATTTAATATTCGTGTTGGAAATCTGAATTTCGTCCTTTAAACTGTATTGTTATTAGTATTTCCTTTAGGTCCTTTGTACTGAGCGCAGTAGATTTCCAAGCTCACTTCAGACTGAAGGTCTGCTTGCCTTTCTAATTCTGCTTTTGGCATCCTCATCCGTGCTGTCACTTTTAGTTGAAACGATGGTGTCTAGATAAGTGAAGGAAGTGATTATTCAAATTTACTCTGTTGATAGTGATTGGTGCTGGTTGGTTGACTTCAACAACTCCGTTTTTCTTAAGTCCACTTGGAATCCTATCTTTGCTTCTTCTGTCAGTTTGTCGGTTTTCGCCTGTAGGTCTCCGAGCTTGCGATATCAGAGACAAATCAATCGCGAAATCCAGATCTTCTAGAGTCTTCTTATCAGTCCAACGTATTTTTGTTTTCTCGCTCCTTACAGTCTGATGCATGATCCAAGTATCATCTAATTATACATATTCATAAAGGTGAAATTAAATGGATATGAAAATGTGTTATAAGGAATTTAGAAGTGTATCGAGACGTGAAGATTAATCACAAAGGGTGCAGAAAGCAAAATATAAGTGTGACATGTGGAATACTCTTAAGTATTGGTTTTGTAAGGACCCCGGACTGACTTCAGTTTATAGGTCCATTGAAAATCAGTAGCACTGGGCAGTTGCTTCGTCCTTGTTTAGGATGCTCCAGCAGTATTAACCTCTGAGTAATCAAGGAGTTCATTGTTTGAAGGCAATTCGAAAAACGGGAATGTATGAAGAATTGCGATTGTGCAACTGCACCATTCTCTGAACCAATGAGAACAATTTTGACCCAGTATCACCAAGTTTCCAGACATTGGTTCTTAAGATCCTGAGGAACCGAACAAGTGTACATTTCCCTACGTGGCTCAAACGAATTGTCAAAAAAGAACTTCATAGACTGATGGCATATTTTGGCTCGATCATCCCTTACCTACCATCCAACCTGATTCTGTGTCAGCTAACACTGCTTACACTCTTTAGTCCTGTGTTCCTGCGGTCACATAAGCCCCAATTAGCTAACGTAGACATTTTTTAAGTATCCTCGTCCCGTTGAACCTATGGTTTATTCCACAGAATATGATTATGAAGTAGTCTAATTTTGGTGTATTCCCGGTGTTCATCCTGTATCCAAAGTTCATCTCATAGTCGTGTGAATTGTTTTTGAAAACTAATGGTCCTATGTTTAGATTATGTAGATAGATGTTTTCATTTGTGCTTGAAAAACTGCATTACATAATTTCATTTTTTCCATTTTTCTCCTCTTTGTATATTTATTACAGTTAGTTCCATGGATGCTTTAAGAGCTACACTGGATAGTACTGATGGTCAAGTGGCTACTGTTAGTCGTACCAGTTCCCCACCTCCTTTGGATCTTATCAGTCCTCCACCGATTGTTGCTGAATATTGGTGTCATACACAAGTAAAAAAGTCTTATTCCTTATATAAATACTTTCTTTTTCTATAAAGGTACGCGTCACCAAGATGAAATATGTTTGGACAATAAGCAACTTTAGTTTTTGTCGTGAAGAAATGGGAGAAGTAGTAAAAAGTTCATTTTTCTCTTGTGGTCCGAATGATAAATTGAAATGGTTAGTTTATTTATTAGAAAAGAGGAAATTATTACTCATTACCATGTATCTTTTTTGTTTATCAAGGTGTTTAAGAATCAATCCAAAAGGCTTAGATGAAGAAAGTAGAGAATACTTATCACTCTACCTTTTACTGGTCAATTGTGGTACAAAAAGTGAAGCTAGAGCCAAGTTTAAATTTTCAATATTAAATGCTAAACGTGAAGAGACAAAAGCAATGGGTAGGTTATGTTTCTGTCTATGTTTTTTAGTAGGAATTTTTAACTAAAAACAAGTAACAAATGTGATTGATAAAGCAGGATTTAATTCGCCCCCCGCCACCCCCTCTATTCTTTTGCGTTCCGAGTGGAACACGTGTCTTCAAGCTTAAGCTTTGAAGTTTTATTGGCGGTGGTGGTGGGGTCTCTAGCCTCACGCCCAACCTTCCGCCTTTATCAGGCTTGCTATCTGCTATGCAGAGTTTAAGAATGTGTCAACCGGGAATCGGACCCAGAATCTCATGTGTGGGTTTGGCAAGTATTCTGCCACTGAAGCACAGAGCAGGTTTTAGTGTATTCATCAAATTTCGGTGAAACTCCTTAGCTGGATATCTTGCATACGGTGATATATATACATACTATTAGAAATACGAAGAAAGCTGTGTGTATCAGCTTGCCGTTTAAAGAAGTTGACCTACAAGAACTGGTTAAATGTAGACTTGGTTAAATTATTAAAAGAACGTATTATGCTGCAAAGCTTGTGCTCCGTAACACCACCAGGCAGCGTTATGCTTCAGCAATCTTGGAAAGACCGGTAACCGATCCCTGACACTTCAAACTGCGTGCATCATTTTCAGTTTGTGGAAGCAAACGCATAAGTCGTTTGTCTACTCACATGATGCAGCATTTATCCAAGTGGATGACACCAAAAGGTTTAAGTCAAGGTGCCAAACAGTTCAATGACGAAGCATCTTATAGAGACTGCAGATATGATATTAACACTGTCTGGTCATCCATTGTTCTCAGCAGACAAACGAAACAGATTGATGTTTGCATTTACGAGAGACCTGTGCATTTAGAGAGTTTATAAACTCAGACATTTTCAAGTTCTTTCTTTAATAATTAATTGTTTTTATTTAAATGATGTAACTGAACCGTAATCCATTATTATTGTCGTCTTAATTTTAATCTGTTCTACTCATCTCCCTTATCTGTATCTCAATATGATGTGAAAAGCATTCACACTTGTCGTTGTGTATGACTGATTTAATATAGTTTATTTACTTATCAGTCATATTGTGGTGGTGTGATGCAGACAATGTGTTCCAATTGAATATGATTCTCAAATATTCTCACAGTTCAGTAATGCATTAGCAACAGAACACAATAATAATAATAATAACAATAATAATAATTTGCTTTATTCCAAAACAGTACTTGTGGTACAGAATGGAATTCTCAGCATTTTTACTACAGTATTGCATCCAGTTAGTACATTATCAACAAATAGACTTCTACATAGATTAAGGAAATCTCAGTTCATTATGACAACAACATATTGGCATGTCGGTAGCAAAGGTAAAGCTGAACAGTGCTTGAAGGTGTTAGAAAAGTAGGTGCTATCATATTTACCGGCGTAAGCGAGAGAAAGAAACAATGCAGCACATAACGGAAAAGAGAGAGAGAAAAGGAAGAGAAAGAAGGAAAATGTTGAAACTATTGATGATGTGAGTTGGAAAGATGAGATCCACTTGTACTACTGACTATTCAATGAATTATAGGTGTCACGCCTAATGCTTTCTTTATCACACTGAACACGAGCTAAATAGGGTATGGTTGAGTTTTTATACTTGCTGGTGCGAGCATGTAGTTTTTTATATAGGCTTCTGGTTTTGCCTGATGAGATGCAAGGGGAGAATTTTGAGTGAAGAGGGTGGTGTGAGTTAGATAAAATGGATTTGGCCCATTTTTCACATTAGTCCATGTGCCTGTCAACCAGAATATTAACAAGCTGGTTAAGTGGTACGTTGCTTACCCTGCTGACAACCTTTAACATCCTGCGTAATAAGGTATAGTCTTTCTTCAGTAGCCCTGGAAAAACTAAGGGGGAACAATGGAGAATAATAGGCAGAATGCGAGAATTAACGAATTGTAGAAGTAAGGGTTGGGTTATGCCAGAATGTTTTGACTTCTTGATGTAGAAGGTAAGACGGAATATTTTCTTAGAAATCGCCAAGATATGAGATGACCAGGAATGATCAGCAGATAGAATGATGCCTAGGTATTTAATTTCCGACTTGATTTCTGTTTCAGTGCCATCTATGTTGCACACCTATATGTGTTTGAGCATTCTACTTCATGTCATTTAATGTAAATCAAAATCACATGCTCAGTGATTGGTTAAAGAATATAAACTATTTTGATGTGGTTGTGTTCTCAGCTGGATAGTTAATTTGCGAAGCTTTCATCACCCTACTAGGTGACATCTTCAGCGCATACTTCAATTTCAATATACATTATATATATATATATATATATATAAACAGCGGTTCGAACAATGGAAAATATACCTTTGCTTCTGTGTATTGCCTTCTGCTATTACAGTATATCTCTCAATTCACTTCTGATAGTACATGTGTAGAGTGTTCAGCTAAGGTGTTCTACCTAAATTTGATGAATTCATTAAATGCTCCTGTGATAACGACATTTGTTGCTTGTTTTAAATTTGTATCAGAAAATAAATATTTCCGATATTTGAGGAATTTTTCTAATGTTTTTCCTCTATTTTATATGCTTCCACTATATATATATAGAAAGTCAACGTGCCTATAGATTTGTTCAAGGCAAAGATTGGGGTTTTAAGAAGTTTATTCGTCGAGATGTTTTAATGGATGAAGCCAATGGTTTACTACCTAACGATCGATTAACAATTTTATGTGAGGTATGCACAATCTTTTGAGTGATTGTTGTACTGAGTGATTCACACCTACGGATTGACTGGTAAATTAAAATTGTACCACGTAGGGGGTGTTGTAAAATGTTTATGAGAATGACAGTGAATCGCAATGTGCCATGTAGCTATCTAATCTCAACAAACGGTTGTATTTCCATGCAGTTAGCAATGAGTCACATGTACTTTGGTCTACCAAACTTCAATAGGTGGAGTGAGCCTTTTTAGACCCCGTGACATGACCCAGTGAGTGATTGATAGTCATAGTTCTCTCAAGCGCGCTAGCCAAAATCTGGCTAGTCTCATCGATTGAGTGCTAATCATTACTATCATTTATGACCAAATAGCTACATTATTTTTCATCTTGTGATTGACTTATCTGTATCGATCGATTCTATGCATAGGTGGTCGATTGTACTGTTATTAATGGCTCAGTGGGATAAAGTCAATAACTTGCACTCTGAGTGATGTATTTTCGAATCTTTAAGTTTTGTTGGAGTTGCAGGTGGTACCCATTGGCTATGTGTGTGTGTGTATGTGTATCTACAAGCACGAAACCCTAGTTCCAAGACTCATTGGCTTTCTGGCGTAACTTTCAGTCATTCATTGAGGTAGAATCTATTTCAACTTTAAATGAAGCAACTGGGGATAGCAGAATCGTCACCTCTCACACAATAATCGTGTTTTATAGTCTGGTACATGAGAATCTTTCAGGTTACTGAGTTTTATTCAAACTCGTCACTGGTTTATAATTGTTATGTTCTGTTGTTGTGTGTGTGTGTGCATGCTTGCGTATGGTGATACTCCTTCTCACACAGAAAATATACTCTCCAAATATAGGCGTAACATTTAGAAATAGCAAATAATTAATTAAAAGTTTAGGGATTTATACTTTTTAAGTCATTTCTTAACTTAGTAGTTACTGGTATCAGTCATTCATTATCGTTAATGTGGGTAAAACATCATCAAATAGAATCGAGAATGGCAGTCAACTCGGTACTTCAACTTGGTAGACTTTGATAAGGTCATCGACGGCATCGATCGATTGCGAAGTAATTTGGGAACTGCTTCGACACTACGGAGCACAGTACCACAAACATGTATAAACCTCATTAAACAGTTATATAGTGATGTTGCATGCCAAGAGAGAGAGAGTTCAGTGAGGCTTTTAAAATGAAGACAGGAGTAAGACTAGACTGCCCTTTCTATCATCGATGATATTTCTGATTGTGGTGAACTAGAGGATGCAACAGGTTGTGAGAAAGCTAGAAGACAGGCACTAGAAATTCTAAGCTTCGTGGATGACTTATGTCTAATGTAGCACAAATTCGAAGATCTCCTGGAGAAAATCAGCAGTTTGGCAGCGAAAACTGGAGTCCAGGTGGACGAGCATAGAGAGGACAGAAAGATGATTAAGATACCCGATCAACAATTAGACAAACCAGTTGCCATCAACGGGAGAAATCTTTCTCTTTCTCATTTATTTCACTTCTGTTGAGTACTTACTTGTGAAACATCGGTCCTTATTGCTTAAACTAATTCTGTTATTGGAGAGAGTGGTTTTGTACCACCTATCTTAATGAAGTGACAAAAACAAGGGTATGTCACATTATTGAATAATTTAAGTGCTCAAACACGTGGTGATTTAAAAGTTTATGACAATTTCTCTCTTGAAATATTCACTTTAGGCACATCTGCTGTTCAATTTCTTCACCTTTTTAAGGGTCTCTGCAAGAAACAACGCCTTTTTAGCTGTGAAAAAAATTTGTATTTTGATTGTTAGTGTCTTAATCTACTTAAATTTAGCCAGTGTCATTCTGTTAAACATTTACTAGCAAAAGTCTGTGAACGTGCTTTAAAAGCATTTGTGTATCAATTAAATATAATGTCATTGCCTACTATAATACCATAGAGCCTGTTTCTTAATCGACGGCGTCGATCACATGTTTTCAGTGGTAGCAGTATTAGTAGGAATCATATTAGGGGTTAGAAAGAGCTGTTGCTCGCTGCGTGGCACATTATTACTTACTGGATGACGTTTCGTGCTGTGGATTATTGGTCCAGGCGCTGTCGACTAAAGGATGCGTGTACTGTTCAGCACTTCGCTCCGTCCTCCTCCTTTATACCTGTGAGATAAACATAACCATTAAAAGTGAAAGATATCAAAAGCCTGGCTAACTCTCTATAATCAAAGGTATCCGCGTTCTATCCCCATGTTACACAGTAGGTGTAATAGGGTGAGTAATATTGTATTGAGGTTAGTCATCGGTCGAATGGCAGGTAAGGGGGAGGGGATATCTATCAACAAGGTTGTGAAGTTACATCGATTCAGATGGTTAGGACATGAATCCATGAATCCGTAGCCATCGCTTTCCTCGACAACAGGTAATCTTGGCCACTGACATAGGATTGATCAGGTTGGAAAAGAGTTAGTGGTGGGTGGTTAAACAAAAACATGGCTTCATCAGTCAATGAAGTCCATCACAGTTAGTTTAAGCCAGTCAGCCAGCCAGCCACGTAGGAAGGTGCAGACTGCCTGATTGACTGGTTGGGATCCTCGGGATGGTAAACACAAGTGGCTGGAGACAATTGATGGCGATATGGCTCAAAATCCTTCTTCTCAATGGTTGGTGCAGATGCATTCATTCACCCTGTGATTTGTCATATCCAATAAGAGTCTACACTTTTTCCATATTACTATTCTTTTCCCCCAGTCACACTTGTGTTTATTATCACTCTTTTGATGAATTTGCTGTACTCTCTTCTCTTGCTTTGCGTGTGTGTGTGTGGAGAGTGGCAAGTGGAACTGGTGCATATTTGTGCAAAGTAATTGCATGTTGAAAGCTGTTAGTCAGGTCTAGGCTGTCGATTTCGAACCGCTTACTACTAGATCACGGTGTTCAAGTCCTTCAACGTCTACCAAGGTTATGACAGTTAGGCAGAGTCCGCTCACTCACTCTCGCACAATAGGTGTGGCTTGTTGCCCACTATATGGAAATAGAAGTAATTGAGGAATTATTGCTCATCATCGAATAAATACTACTCACTTACTTACTTTACTTTACTTCGGCTATCTCCTACGGGAGGATGAGCCGGCTTCATGAACATCTCGAATCATCGCTTCCCAGGCGCGGCGATCTGATGAAGAGAGTTCATGAGGTTTCATGGGAATTTGGTACGAGTGATGTCCCCAGAATCGCTCGGCCTTTTGAGAGTGCAGCTCTAGCCTTTACACAACCAAGTGTGACCTACAAGGCAGTAGGAGTGAAGTAGGGAGTCCACTATCCATTGGCAGCCGGTGACCGGAGTCCGGTTCATACGCCTTTCTGAATGGGGCCAGACATCCAGGACATCCAACAAGCCCTTTGTCCATACGTCTGCCGGTGAGCTCCAGTGAGCTTCATACGCCAGTCGTTGGAGGTTTGGAATCAGGGTTTAGCCATCTCCCCTAGACTGTCATCCAATGGACAGTCAACCCGGTGAAGAGCGCCGGGCATCCGCTTTCGCCCTCTCACTTAGGTGAAAAACACCTCCGCCACGTGAAGGCAGAGTAGGACTTCCTCAGGAGAGGCTATGTAAGACGCCCGGTCATATAGGGGCATCTCAAGAGGTGTGCGGAGGGGTGGCCAACCCGCAGCGCAAGGCACCCACCCCCACCATCCTGAGGCTTTGGAGGCTATACTACTCACTGTACTTTTCCATATTATAAAGTAATACTAATGAAATTCTTTCTATTACCATATTTTCTTTTTCATACGAGTACTTTTAATATATATATGACTATCCTAACTGTATTATACCTTCTCTAACAACAGGTTTCCGTTGTTGGTGAAACTCTCTCCGAAAGTGGTCAAGTTAACAATCAACCAATTACTGTACCAGAGTGTAATTTACACGAAGATATTGGCAGTCTGTTATTTAAACAACTCCTTACTGATGTCACATTAGTTGTTGTGTCCAATAATAATCATAATCATAATAATACTAATAACCAATCGAATGGAAAATCACCAAGTAATGATTCTTCATTATCATATATCCATCAAAATTCTTATCTCTTAGGTGTTTGTGGCGGTCATAACGCTACTACTCCATTGCCTAGCTTGAATTCTGTCAGTGAACAACAGGTGAGCACCAAATTCTCCACAGCTTATGAATCCACCGGTGAAGAAGAAGATGATGATGATGATGGCGATGGCGAAGAGGATGACCAAGAGGAGGAGCTGGATGAAGGTGAAGAGTTCGAGGATGATGATGACGAGGAGCAGGAAGAGGATGAAGATGGCCAAGATGATGGGGAGGATAATGATGATGAGACTGGGACTGGTCGTGGTGGTGGTGAACATCAGGGGAATGACAGTGAGCGTGAAGAAGAGACACAGTCAAGTTATAGAGAATCACAGTTAGTATATTTTGTCGATGGCAGTAATCATCTAACGTCGAATGGTGGTGGTGGTGGTGGTAGTAGCGGTAGTAATACTGAACAGGGTGAAGCAGAGGCTGCCGCTTCTGCTGCCACAGCAACAGGAACTCATCATCGAATATCAAACACTGGAGATAATCATGCTTCTAGCACATCGTCTCATCCTACTCACCATCCTGGACATGTAATGTCTTCTTCTTCTTCGTCGTCGACTACTACACTGACACTGGCTTCTACGACAGCTAATGTCCCGACAAAAGGTGTAATCATTCCTATTGCTTCAGCTACTCCTAGCTCACTATTAGTTTCGTGTACTGGTGGCAGCGCCGGAGATCCAGTCTCTGTAAAACAATATCCTGGAGACCATACAATTAACAATGCTACAAATAGTGACTGGCGACTGACTTCATCGTCTTCCAATTATGTTTCTACTCAGGGGAACATAAATCGTGATGATCGGGAGGTGAAACCAAATGCCAGTTGTAAGTAAACATGATCTTATATGCTTTTTTTAAATGTCAAGGTGAATATCTTAACCAATGTAAAGTGTTGTAAGATAAAGTTGTGTACAACCTGGCGTCTAGATTGAAATAGGTAATGATGTATGGAGTTACTACTCCCAGGATATTTTTGATTTCAGTTTCAATCCGCTGAAACAGAGGCTGGTTTTGCTGGTAGTTTAAATTCATTAGTGGTAAAATAAGCTTGTCCAATCTTGTGAATGTTCTCCGAGGATATAGGGCTTTAGAGTTTCAGTCAGTCGGTCTCAGGAGTGAGTATTGTTCCCCTTTTTTCGACCTGGGCAACTGGGTATTAACAACAACCCTCACGCATAAGTGTAAGTGAACAATGTTGTCTCCAATTAGCTGTCATTAGGCTTAACTCTGATATGCATAATTTCACAAATAAATATTAGATATAAACCAGTCATGGTGGTGATTTGTCAATAGAATGACAAGATTGTGCCTGTGAATTATGCCACTAGTCATAACCATTTTATCTTATTTTATTCCTTCAAGTTCTCAGTGAAACCTAGGGCTTCAAGTTAGAGTTTTGAAGTTTCAGTAGCGGTGGTTTTCTTCTTACGCCCAGCCTTCCCTTTTTACCAGCTTAACGAGGTTTAGGAGTGCGTCAGCCGAGGATCGTACCGTGGACCACGTGGCGTGTGATTGACGAGCGTTCTGCCTTTGCACCACTAACGCATTAGTCATAATCATAGTAATAGTATTTCTATTGCTGATAAAAATGAAATAAATAGTAGAGCGATTTGTAATAAGAAGAATAATAGTGAAAAACAGCATGGGTAAACAACACAAACCATTATAAATTATTTAAAATAATCTCAGCGTGTTTAAGAAAAAATCGAAATATTCAGAAATATTCACTAACCATCCCTGCTGAAGAAGCTTTAGCTTACACAGCGAAACACGTTCAGAAAAATCTTGTTTTATTTCTCTATAGTTCGTTTGTAAGGATTAGTTTTGTTTTTACGAGTTGATCACGGATTGATATCAGTTAGAGAACCATTGAAAACCAGGCAGTACTAGACAGCTGTTTCATCCTAGTATGGGAATCATCGGCAGTACGCATCCACCGTGGTTCGAACTGAGGACCTTCCGGTTGCAAGGCAAGCTCGTATACCATTCTTTTTTTATTCCTTCACGTTACCAGTGGAACATAGGGCTTCAAGATAGAGGCTTGAAGTTACTGTAGCAGTGTTTATTTTTACAGGATGGGGTTGCTAGCCTCATGCCCAACCTTTTCTTCTTGACCAGCTTTTAGTTCTGGCTTAGTGAGGTAAAGGAGTGCGCCGGCCGGGGATCGAACTCCGGACCATGTGCATGGTCGGCGAGCGTCCTAACCGCTATGCCACCGACGCACTATACCATTCAGCCACTATTTATTCAAAGTGTGGTTACATCGTCTTAATAACTGACTGACTGGTTTCAACATGCAACTTTGCACAGATGTGCACCGGTTGCAGTTGTCACACTCCCTCCTTGTAGCACAAAAAGCAAGAGAAGATAGCACAGAGAGGTTCATCAGAAGAGAGATAATAAACACAAGTGTGACTGGGGGGAAAAGAATAGTTATATGGAAAAACAGTAGACTCTTATTGGATATGACAAACCACAGAGTGAATGAATACATCTGCACCAACCATTGAGAACGAGAATTTTGAGCCATATCACCACCAATTGTCTCCAGCCACTGGTGTTTACTGTCCCGAGGATCCCAACCAGTCAGTCAGTCAGGAAGTCTACACCTCCATACGTGGACTGGGTGGCTGGCTGGCCTAAACTAACTGTGGACTTCATTGACTGATGAAGCCATGTTTTCGTTTCACCAACACTAACTACCTCTTTTCCAACCTGATCAATCCTATGTCAGTGGGCAACATTACCTGTTGTTATGGAAGGTGATGGCTATGGATTCGTGCGTAACACTCGTCCTAACCATCTCAATCGATGTAGCCTCACAACTTCCTCGATAGATCTCCCCTCCATTACCTGTCACTCGACCGATGACTAACCTCCATACAATATTACTCACCCTATTTCACCTACCATGTAACATGGGGATAGAACGTGGATACCTATGATGATACACAGCTAGCCAGGCTTTTGATATCTTCCACTTTTAATTTTTTTTTTCCTTCACGTTCCCCAGTGGAACATAGGGCTTCAAGCTAGTGGCTTGAAGTTTCTGTAGCAGCGTTTATTTTACAGGATGGGGTTGCTAGCCTCATGCCTAACCTTTCCTCTTTACCAGCATTATTTCTAGCTAAGCGAGGTAAAGGAGTGCGTCGGCCGGGGATCGAACCCCGGACCATGTGCATGGTCGGCGAGCGTCTAAACCGCTATACCACCGACGCACTCCACTTTTAATGGTTATGTTTATCTCACAGGTACAAAAGAGGAGGACGGAGCGAACTGCTGAGCATTACCCAAGCCCTTCGATGGACAACCGAATATCATGTCCACGCCAGATATGGTATAAGTTGACGTGGTCTTAACACTTATTTATTGTTGTGTATATTTAGTTATATGCTGAAGAGTTCGACTTCGCCTGCCAACTGAAAAACACTGGAGTGTACACTGTATTTCACACCAAGTTGCTTTGTTTCTGAAAATAATACATGGTGGTAGTTGCTGAGCCATATTACATCTTGTCATTGCAATCAGTCTTAGAAGTTAATGGCTAGTGTGTTGCATTAATTCATCATGATCAATATTGATAGGTATTACTCAAATGTGGAAGGTATTTTATTAATTGAAACAATTCCAAGCTATTTTTCTCTGATAGCATGTAACTCCGATTTCAGCGGAGTTGTATTCATTGTTCTATAACTTCACTACTTACTAATGCTACTCTTTCTTGCTTTTCAGGTATTCATAGGTCTCGCACATCCAATTCAGTACCTTCAACATCCTCTGCTTTACCAACAACTACTGATTCATCATCGGCGTCGTGTAGTAGTAAAGTGAAACAAACTGTTGCACACAACGCAGATGTGGGAAGTAGCAGTACAACTACAAGCAGTACAACAATAAGTCAAAGTAGTTCTCTTGTGAATAATGTCTCAACCCCTTTGATCACATCCAAAGAGAAACATGAAGGCATTGAAGAGTCTGTCGAAGCTGAGACTTCTGGCACGTCAAGCCGTGTCCGACGGAGTACTCGAAGAAGGGGTAACAATAATAATAATAATAGTACATCGACTACCACAACGTCAAATCGTCCGCGTAATCGCAACACTCGTGACTCATCACTTTTAGCCACTGTTTCAAAAGCAGCTTCAACAACTTCATCTCATTCCAATCCTGCAGCGACCCCATCAAGTTCCACTGTATGCCCATTAAGTGTAACCGATCAGACTGTAAAGTGTTCTAGTACAGGATCTACGACTGCTGCTGGTGGTAGTAGTAGTAGTACTAGTAGTTCAACAGTTAGTGGTGTTTCAAATTCTAGTGTTGTCCTTCGACAATTTGAAGCACACAAAGCTATTCTAGCTGCTAGAAGCCCGGTGTTTGCTGCAATGTTTGAACATGGCATGGAAGAGTCTAGAGCTAATCGAGTTGAAATTACAGACATGGAACCAGATACTGTGGCTGAAGTTCTACGTTACATATATACTGGACAAGTTGTCGGTATGGATCGGTTAGCGCATGAATTATTAGCAGCTGCTGACAAGGTTAGCTCATTTTTCTTTTTACAGAAAAACTGTTATCTCCATTAAGTTGTACGATTTAATGAACTGAAATTGAGGACCTTTCAAAGAATCAATAGTAGGAGATTGTTGGTCATGTGACTTAAAAGCGTTTGTTATATTGTAGATCCAAGCATACCTTGATCATCAAAGATCCTCTCATAAGTGTTCGTCAAATGATTCTGTCTCCTATGCGTTTTCGTCTGTTGTAGTTTCAGTCTCATTACATCTCCTTTGTCTGCTTTTTATGTATGTACTGATACAATTTTGTGCAAGTTTCCTAGCTGATGATTGAACTTGTAACTGTATCTCATGTTGTGTTGTACTATGCAGACTGGGTTGTTTCTATGGCTCTCACCGTTGTTTATGGTCACAGAGTTAAGTGAAGATTACTCACTAGCCTGAAGAATAGTGCTAACTGTAGTAGAGAAGCAAGATGAGGAAGGTGATGTGAGTAAGGGAGAGTGATGCTCAGGTAGCCTTCGTGTGCTTTTGGAAATGTGTGGGGGGTTGTTACTTCCCGACTGCCCACACCGTGGAAGTTGGTTGAGTCTTCGGGTACCTGAAATAGAGAAAAGGTTAGTGTTGCGTGACTGCAGAGCCCAGGGGACAACTGCTTGAGGCCGGTCACAAGCGGCCTGTTTTTGTTTGTTCTTTTTCATTTGGTGTGTCTCAGTAGCATATTTATCACTTCTGCCCTGTGACATGGCAGCAGGAAGCGCGGTCGTTGTTAATCCGGGCCTCGACCGATCCGGCATGATATTTTGTGAATTTGTTTGAATCATGGTATTGGATTGGGTAGCTGCTTTTTGTCAAACCGCTATCCAAACAACCTTTCTAGCATGGTAGGACCTACAGAAACATAAGTTCCAGCCAGTGTAGCTCGTTGGGTCATTGCGATATGCAAGCCCGACCACCACGTCAAGGTAGCAGCTATCGGCCGGTACTATACAGACTATGTGTATTGGCAACCATACTTCCTGTAGTTCGATGTTAGAATGCTCGCTAGCCACGGCAATGGTGTGGATTCGATGCTTGCACCCAAGCCAACATCATCGTAAAGGAGTTGTGCCTCATCGGTCGGTCTAGACTCTCGACTGACTTTCGATTGGTGGATCACTGGTTCAAAACTCGCTCCATCTATCGAGGTTTGGGCATCATCCAGGTTAGTATCACATTGGCTCTCACACAGTTGATATGTGTGTGTGTGTGTGTGTGTGTCATCGTTATTTGTGCACGGAATCCCAAGTGGTTGTTGAGTGAGATTCTTATTTTCTTTCAGACATGCTATCGATGTATCATTTAGCATTGTTCTTTAATTTCTCAAGTGGTACATATCAAGTAAGAAGCTAATGACGAGAGAGAGTTAGAATGATGCAAGTAACACAATTGACAGTCATTGCATTGTATGTTATAAGATAGAGAAAGAAGAACTGACTGGTTTCAACATAGGGCTTTGCACAAATATGCAGGTGGCTGCAGAACAACGTCAGGAGCTGTGTTCTTGTGGTTGCCAGTTGCCAAAACAAGTTCCTACGCCATTTGTTGCTTTTGGGTCCTGGCGCCTGTGGTTTAGCGTCAGGATTTACCAGTTCCTTAGAGTAGTGAACCCACACAAATTCGATGATGAATGTCATTCACATTCGCTTTTCCTCCTTTGTAAGGACGCCACCTCTGCGTGAAGGCATTTGAAAGAAACGTGCCTCACAGAAGTTATTAACACGTGGCCACGTGAGAATATTTTGTTAGGAGAAGACCAAAGAAAACTTCCCATGTGTTTGGCGCCATACCAGGTCATTCATAGCTAACCAGCTGGTAAATTTTGACATTAGATAGTTGGAGGCAATCGGAAGGAAGTTTTAGACCTAGGTTTCGTGCTTGTTGTCACTCACCAGTCAGTAAGGTGTATCTGCAATCTTGAGGGAACTCATGTCCTTTCTGAGATTCAAACCCATGTCACCCAGTAGTGCAGTGAGAGACGTTACCACTGAGTTATTCGGGCTGATGTGATTGACCTGTTGGACTGTATTAAGTACCTTGTTTCTAAATAGTGTCATGCGTAATGGAGGATCATCTAGAATGGTCACCACATTGCAAACTTGAGTGGTAGAATTTGGTCTGCAGTAAACAAAAGATTGAGTGCATGACACTAGTCAGCGCCCATTCAAAACTGACATTCATGCAAACAGGATGGAATCAAGGCTTGGGGAAACATAAGATCACCTTGAAGACCAGCTGTTAACTAAAAGCTTACTGATTCGAATTGACTAAATCACTATAGTATACAGTTCTCCTAAGATGTATTCTATTATTATCCAATTTAAACAAGTATCTCTTCAGTTTTTCTCCATTTATAATTGCCTTTTCATAAATCGACTATTGTCATTACTACCTGTCACCGCTGTCATTTAGTGATCCCTTTTTCTCTATTCTCTTTGTAGTATCAGTTGGAACGGCTGAAGACAATGTGTGAAGAAGCACTTGTAGAAAGTCTTTCAGTTGAGAATGCTTGTGATATATTTGGACTTGCTGATATGCACAATGCTGAACAGTTGAAAGCTCATACACTTGAGTTTATAATGCTGTAAGTGACTTGTTTTATATCTTTCTTATTTATGATATTAGGCTTGTATTATTATAGTTCATCAAAGCTCTTACAACATTTCTTCATCCAAGTTTTTTGTAATCTTGTTGTGACTCACCACAGGTCTGAGTAGGGGTGGGGGGGGGTCGATTGACGACCATGCTGGATGGTTGATTGGTTCAACACCCACTCACCCCATCTGCCAAGTTTATGCGCAACTGGATAAAATCAGCAGCCTTTGTATAAAAGACGCGAGTCATTGTTAACAACAGAAAAGTGAATATGATGATTTGAGTAACACTTCCCTCATAGTTTCATTCCGGCATTTCTCTATTCGTTTTTTTCCTGGCTCTTAGCCTTACTCCAGGAAGCATCCTCAGTCAGATATGGCATTGCTCTGTAAGGAATCTGAGAGATCAGAAAAAAAGGTGAATGGCTCTTTGCTCTATTGACTAGGATTTTAAGCGATGCCAAGAAAAGTTTTTAACCTGTGCATATATGTACTAATGGAAGTGATTCTAATCGTATTTAACGACTTTGGGATTAACTTGTAGCTCTGGGACACTTTCGTCGATTTAAAGAATGTAGATGATGTAGTCATTTTATTTGGAGATACTGACAGACTTGACAGCTTTTTGTACACCTTGGTCAGAAATCTCAGTATGTTTGGATGGGCGTGTGATTCGGTCCTTTCAGATGTGGACCGGTTGAGCGTGTTGACCACCACTTCACTTAGCTGGGAAGTCAAATCGGCCCTAATTAAGCGATTGCTGACAAAATCTCAGCTCGTATACAAAAGCCTCTGTGTGTGGTATCTGCCAATCTATGGCGTAAACATGATATCCGGCTATTTATCATGGAACGTATGTACTTATGCTATGCAGCAGTTCTCTATGTCATTTTTGGTCCTGAAACATAGTCGTTGTAAGTGGAGTCTGTGATAAAGGCTAGCTATCTTTGACCATAGATTTCTGTGCTCTGTTTTCCGTGTTGAGTAGTATAGTATAGTGGAGAGGGATATTAAGGTTATGCGTAGAGTGTTAAGTAAAGAGGGCAAGTGAATCGGTTGGATAGTGAAGCTACAAAATGTGCAAAGTATAAAATGAGAATAATAACTACAGTAGGTTTGTTTCAAACACTACTGTCGATACAGTATGGGAATCTTAGCATGTTACAGAGAGTATTGAATCTAATGTTCTCTTGATATAGCATAGTGAAGGGAAAAACAGAAAATATCAATTATTACAAATAAAAGACAGATTCAGCGAAGAAAATTTTCTTTATCGACGAAATCATCTTCAGAGGCTGACTTTACAATCGTATTTATACTTACAAAAATATATAGTGGTCTATTATTGAGTAATAAGGGGGTGACATAATTGATATAATTACTCAGGAGTGGCTTTAGAAGTGAAAATTAAAAGTTGAAAATTACGTGGTACTCAACGGCACAAAGGTAGAAATTCGATAAGGTTAAAATTGCTATGAAGTGAGAATAAAGGTATTTGAGTGTCAATTTAACAAGTGTGAAGAGGGTGTGAAAATATACAAAAGGAGCATATGAGAGTGATAATAGTGAAGCCACTTCTGAGTAATTATATCAAATATGTTACCCCCTATTACTCAATAATAGACCACTATATATTTTTGTAAGTATAAATACGACTGTACAGCCAGCCTCTGAAGATGATTTCGTCGATAAAGAAAATTTTCTTCGCTGAATCTGTCTTTTATTTTCTTCATGACTGAATGTGTATGTTCGGTAATTATTACAAAGCTTAAATGGTGTTTACAATTATGAGAAAATAAACGAAAAAATGAGAGGACTATAAGTGTAAGAGGAATAATAACAGTAACACGCTATGGCATAAGGATGAAGAAAATTGTTTATTTACTAGTGGAAAGAGGGTTAGTTAGTTAGTTAGTTAATTAATTCGTGCCTGACACTATTTTCATCACATAAAATACGGGGGCTAAATATGGTATGGAATTTACATAGTTAGATGTGCGCGCGTAACGTCTTTTGATGAAGTGACTTCTTGTTCTACCTAAGGAGATTCAAGATGTGAAAGCTGCGGGTAGAATTGTCGCTCACAGTCTGACAGAATTCCTTTAGCAAATTTATTGCAGGCAATTAAGTGATTATCATTGACGATGTCAACGATATGGTCCAATGGGGATATCGCCACTCGCCCTACTGACTGATTGTCTTCGCATTTCTACGAAGTGTGACATAATCTTTTTTCAAGCAACTTAGGAAAGAATAAGTAAGGGTGAACACTAGAGAAGAATAGGTAAGATGCAAGAGTTGACAAACTGTGAGAGGAGGAGAAGGGGTTAGTTAAGTTATGCTCGAGTCCCTTAACTTTTTCCTGATGTAAAATGTCAGATGGAAATTTTTGTTTTTACTAGAAATCGCTAAAACAAATCTAGAAGTAGTTGAAATGTCATCGTTTACTGTGCATTATCCTTGCAGTTTGTTGTATTTCATTGATGCATGTATTTATCATGTGTTAATCATTTCTATTTACCTTTATAATTTTAGACATGCTCATGATGTCTGTGAAACTGAAGGCTATGAACAACTGGTACGACATCGTCCACGTCTGTTGAATGAGTGCTTTCGTAGTCTTGCCTCACAACAACTCCCTTTAAGATGTTGGGCACGTAAACGTCCTAGGCAATCGTAAATTTTGTCTCTGTTTGTGTGTGTGTTTGTGTGTACAATAACACCAGCAGAAGAAAAGGCATTATGCTTCATCATTCTCGCCTCTCTCTCTCTCTCTCCCTCTTTCTCCTCGTTGACGTTGTCCACCATCACACATCTCCATTTGTATTAAAAAATATTCCTTCACTTCAGAAATCAGAAAAAATCACTGCCTTCTAAATATTATAATCCGCCCCCCAAACCCCGTCACGCCTCAGCCAACTACTTTCCTGGTTTCCTATCTCCCCATCTTTCTCTCTGTCTCTCAAGACCGCTATCACCTTTATTCAGTCTTTGAAGTGTGTGTATGTGGTGTGTACCGATTAGGTCGGTAGCTATGTGGTAGGTACCGATATGTTAGCGATAATTCATTTTTATACACTTATGCCTCTTTTTTTTTCCATATTTCCTCTTATTCCCGTTTATCACTCTCAGATGACTGACTGACTGACTGAGTGAGTGTGAGTGAGTGAATGAAAAGCATTTTCTTTTTATTCTGCCTTTAGCAGTCTTGTCTCTCTCTCGCCTTTCTAATGAAGTAAATAGAGAAAATGAGTTAAAAGGGATTTAAAAATATGCCAATATTTAAATGTATCAATAATGATTAGTTGTTATCGTTGGTGTGTGCTTTTGAAATTGTTACATCTTCCTCCCACCGTCTCTTCCTTCTCCTCTTTCCTCTTCTCATTCCGCCTCCAGTTGTACGTATAGCTTGTCTCTTTGTGTTTAATCTATTCTGCCTTGTTCCATCCCTACTCTCTTTCTCTCTCACACTCACTTGCTCACTCACTGTGATTATGTAATTGTTTATTGTGTTCAAGTCCCTTGTCTTCATATTCCCTCTCTCTCTGTGTGTGTGTGTGTTTGTGTGACCGGGGATGATGCATAGGTTGATATTTAATTTTCCCCAATAATTCCATTCTCTGATGATCCTTTTCTGGTCTCCTTTTGTGAAAAATATATACAAATGCAAAGGGAAAAGTGTGATCACATGTTTGTATATCTCTCCCGTTCTCCCTGTCTGTCTCACTTTCTTTCTTGCTCACGCATACAGACACACACACACATACACTGACCTCATCTGTGCTCATCTCCCTTGTCTTTTCTTCAAGTTTTATGTTCGTTTAGAGTTCCCCTTTGTACGTTTCCTGTTTTTTCTAAAATTTCTTTCTGTTTTTCCCTTTGTTTGGTCTTTCTTTTCTTAATATACACACACATATTGATGTTTATTCACACAATTTCTACATCTTGGTTATGATTACTACTAAATATATAACATGACTAACACAAATACGCTTTATGTGTGTGCATGTGTTATGAAAAAGTTATAAGTTGTATGGTTACTAGATGGTAGAAGGTAATCGTAAGGAGACGACCCGCTGGACCTTGATCTCGCGCTTGTTGATAGCTCACAATCTCGGGGATACCGATGCCCCTCCCCACCACCATCACTCAGTGCTGCATTCAGAGAGGCGTCATCACTGAGCTATTTGTGCATCGTTGGTTCAGGTTTGATTCCCGGATGGCATGCTCGTAGGCCTCGCTTAGCAGCCGGTAGCAAGCTCCGGTAAAAGGGAAAGGTTGGGCCCACAAAAGTGTTACCTCAACTGAAACTTCAAAACTAAAGCTTGAATGAAAAACCAAATGCCGAGCTATTTATTCTTTATTTGATTTTATTATAGCTTGATTCCACACAGTATTTTGGTACAAGTATAGGAATTTTCAGCATGTGATATCGGTAGTCCAAATGTAGCAGACAGACCATTGGTATCAGGTGTGCGTTGGCCGGGGATCGAACCCCGGACCATGTGCATGGACGGCTCCGTACTGATCTCATGGAACATTGTAATCAATTCATTGATTGGCCACTATTGATTAGATAACCAATGTCCTGTGCTCAACTCTCTGGTGTGTTAGTGTTGACTGAATTTTGTCAGTGGTGTTTGGAATGTGGTTTTTTCCATCACTCTGCGTCCCAGGTGGAGCATAGAGCTTCATGGAGTTTCAGTAGCGGTAGTGTTGGTAGCCCTAAGCTCAATCTGTCCTGTTTTCTGGGTTTATTATCGACTAGGCGTAGTTTAGAAGTGTGTTCTCCGGAATTCGAACTTGGACGGCGTGCAGGTTTGTAAATGTGCATTGCTATAAGGTTTCAATTTATAAGGGAATATCTGTTCTTTATCTTTTCGTATTTAGCATTTCAGCGGCTGAAATCCATCCTTAACTAATTTTCCTTTAAGATCAGCTTTTAGCCTAAAGGTTAGAAAATAAAGGAAGTTAAAATCAAAGCTATTGACATTCAAATGTATTTTTACTTTTCACGTCATTCGATACGAATATGAAAAAAAATGAAACCCACAGGAAATTCACTGAAATCTAGATTTCTATCTCCGTGTTCCTTGTAAAGAAATGTCATATTCTGTCTGGTATAATCCATGTTGATAATTTCACTATCTTCAAAAGAAGTAAGTGGAGGATGGGGGTAGAAACGATGTTTAAATGTCATACTCTAATTCTGTGGTGTGTGCGCACTGCTTTAACGGGATTTCCAACGACATAAATTATTATTATTATTATTTCATATTTGATCACGGAATGACTTTGGTTGGAGAACCATTGAAAACCAGCAAAGGGTGCTGGGTGCACCTGTATCATCCTTGTTTAAAACTTTTAAGTAGTACGTACCCCATGTCTCCATCAGAGAAAGAGAGAGAACCTGAGACGAGGTTCAGGTGACAAGGTGAAATCGTTCGTTAACCATTCAGCCAATAGGACGGTATCCAGTAGCACATCAATTCTAAGTTCTACCGATTCGCGACATAGAGTGCAACCGCTAGGCAATGTCATACATCATAGGGGGTATTTGTCTTCATACTCCCCTTGGAAGCTGTGAATGGTCAACGAGACCTCCTCACAACCCAAAGGTCCTATGTTCTATTCCTGGTGGAGTTGTGGGTGCCTACTACTGAAGAGGAAACCAAGTAGTTCGGCGAAGAGGCTCTTCTCGCGGTGAATTCATTTTTTCTCCATTAGCTGTACCATTGAATCTACATACAATTTTTCCATGAAGGAGGGTAATAACAAAAGTGATGAGTTGTCACAAAGCATAGTGGTTACTATTAGTCAATGCATAAGATGAGTTGAATAAGTATATTAGAGTTACGTAATAAGGTGAATAATTTAATGAATGAGTTGTAGTCAGGCTGCATTGAGTGGCTAAGGCTTCAACAATGTAAAGAAGACGAAAGCGTATTGCCTTTGACAGGTTATTCTTCACTTTGTAGATTACTTTGAAGGAGGCTTCGATTGGACACTAGTAACTAGTGTGATGTGTTTAGTCCTTTGTTTGGTGCAGACTGAATCCTATCAGTCAAGTTGGCAATGTGGCCACCATTCTAGGTAGCTCGCCATCACGGTGCACATTGATTTGATGGTATTAGATGGTTGGAGGAGGCATTTGTTGAGATAGAATGACTAGGGTTGACAAGGTTTCGATTGTCGCACTCCTTATAGAGCCACTGCTACTTTTCTGCAATCATGTAGGATAGTGTTATTGAATCCTTCTAGACATGAGATGTGTCGGATGACCAATGTACCTGACTCCACTGCAACAGGTGAACTGATATATACGCATAGAAGTGGTCAAATGCGACATCTTTTCCGTTGGCCTTCTGCGGGCTATTGGGCGACTGAAGAATACTACTCTTGGCATTGCTGCGAATTACGTTTTTCTCTTAAGGACATCACTGAGTAGGTCACCTTTGAGGTCGAGATTCATGTAAAATTTCTTTTTTGTAACGGATGACGTCTCATTTTTGAATTTTCGGCTTGATGTTCTTTCTTGTGAATAAATCTTGGCCTGGAGCATCAGGGCTGTAGATGCATCGAACACGAGTAGCAAGAGATAAAATTAGGTTTCGTTGATACCGAGATGTAGAAACTTGTCAGCTGGCTGTTCCATGTGGAGTTCCTATGAATGGACATTGCTAGACTTCCGTCAGTTGTTCTTATAAGTTCAACAATAAGAAAAGGAATTTTAGATTCATTTTCTATTTTAAGAATAAACTTTGTTGTTGGACTGTAGTTGTTGAATATCTAGAACAATTGACTTCTCAACTCCACTGGAATATGTATTCATAAAAGGTGTACATAGTAGCAATAGTCGATATCATTGGACGTTTTCGCCACAGAACACAGGATATACAACCTCCCGGTATAAAAACAACAGGAAAGTCCGGTATTCCCTTTTTGGGAAACCCTGCACGCAGATTTAGGCTTGCTAGCACTAGTCTTTAAGGCGTATCTTCAGCATCATAGGAATTGATGCCATCTAGGAGATACCTTCCTACCAGCCCAACCCAGTGATACAGTCGGAGGCGTTACCATCCCACTATTCGGGCTTATAACTTATTACCTTTCCTGTAAAGTAATGTACTTCCAAAGGGACATCAGCTTCTTGGTGATTCCAAATACGCTTTATTGGCACGACTGCTAATAAGCACGGTACCTAAATCCATGGCTTCTTGTTGACTGGCTGCTTTCATCTAATTATTATTCTAGATGTACTGCGTTTATGAATCACTAATAGTATACGGTCAAATCAGCAGTGTAAATCCGTCTTTGTGAATTACATTTAACTTGGTCTGCTGAAATGAAATTTTGAAAGTCTAAAAATAATATCTGTCACGATGGACGTTGTTTTGATCATCAGTTAGAAAGCCACAGTGAAAATCGGTGGAGGGAAGAGGACTGGATAGCTGATTCGTTCTAGTCTTTGACTCTTCAACAGTACGCATCCATGGCCTCAAGAAGGATTTTAAAAAGGACATTGCGTTTCTGAGGCAAGCTCGTTAACCGTCCAGTCAGTGGGGAACAATTCAAAGGACCCATGAATTCTGACTTTTGCCGTTTCACGGTTTATTGCGTGATCTCACTTATTTCGAGAAGATTTGAAGCCCAGGTGTGAGTGATATCGGTGGAGTTGTGTTCTCTGAGCTGGATGATTGGATTATTTGCGATTTTTCGAATGTCTTTCAAGACAGCATATATGGCCCATAGTTGAATAGTGTCCTCGTACGTGAGAACGCTAATAAAATGAACGTATTGTGTAGAAATCTTGGAATATTTAGCATGTGATTCGCTCCTGTCAAGTAGAAGATGATGATGTGGGACTGAATAGTACCAACTGCTAGATTACGGATAAGGAGTGAAGTGGTTGAGTGTGTTGACTATTTCATCACATATTTTAGAAGTTGCATCGGCCTCATTGGACTGATTACTGACGAAATCTCAGCATGGATATTTCATGCTCATGTGACATTCGCCAAATTAAGTCATTTTTGGTGTGATATCTGGCTATCGGAACCAAGGACATGTGTATCTGAGAAGTTCGTTAACATCTTGAAAGCCCTATACAGAAACACCTCAGGTAGAGTGAGGGCATACAACCAACTATCACCACTGTTCCCAACCAGCAGTGGGTTTCGACAGGGTTGCCCAATCTCTCCATTTCTCTTTAACTTTGCCATCGATGACATTCTGGAGTCAGCTCTGAAGGACGTGCGTGAAGATGGTGTAGATCTGCTTCGTGGAGATAGACTTTTCGACCTCGTGCATGCAGACGATATCGTCTTACTGTGCAATAGCATGCAGGCTACCCAAATCGCACTTTATCAGTTGGCGATCAGTGTCTGTAAGTATGGTATGCCCTTTGCACCATCTAAGTGCAAAGTACCGTTAAAAGATTGGCAGGAACCTTGTACCTGCACTCACTCTTGCTTGCAGGTGAACCGCTTGAAGTTGTTGATGAGTTTGTGTATCTGGGTAGTTGTGTGAGTACTGGTGGAGGGGTGACGGATAAGATTTCCAACCGTATAATAAAGGCTACGGTGGCATACATCAACTTAAGTCACCTATGGCGCCGTCGCGACGTTAGCCTGGTTGTCAAAGGTCGGGTATACAATGCTTCAGTTCAGGCTGGTTTGCTCTACGTCTGTGAAATCTGGCCTCTCCGAGCTGAGGATGTGAGGCGACTCTGCGTGTTCGATCATCGCTGTCTCCGCTTGCGTTCGATGGCATCACCGCGTGAGTAATTCTGAGGTTCGGCGGCGTGTGTCTGAACACAGTGGAGATCATCATTCATTGAGTGTCGTCATCTGGAAACACCGGCTTCGGTGGCTTGGACATGTGCTGTGAATGTCATCCCAGAGGCTTCCGTACAGGTCTCTGTTGGCTAGCCCTGGGACGGGATAGAAAAGGCGGAGGGGTGGTTAGTCCATGACTTGGCG